AGCAGAGAGACCTCAGTCTATCAGAAGCCGAAGCCAGGACTATAGCTAAAATGGAATTTGAAGCTGCAGCAAAATCAATTATGTTGGAATCTTTAAGACTGGGCATAGAAATGAAGCCAAATCGTCTGTGGGGATATTACCTTTATCCAGACTGTTATAACTATGATTACAAACAAAACCCACATAATTATACGGGAACCTGTTTAGATATTGAAATAGAAAGAAATAATGAGCTTAATTGGTTGTGGGAAGAAAGTACAGCACTTTACCCATCTGTTTATCTAGAGACAGCGTTAAGATCTTCCAGAAATGCCCAACTCTTTGTTCGCAACAGAGTTCAAGAAGCCATTAGAATTTCATATGTCTCTAATTCTACTCATCCCCTTCCAGTTTTTGTATATACACGTCCAGTATTCACAGATGTCTATGAGGAATATCTCTCCCAGGTGAGCGGAGCTAGACCTTAAATATTTCAAATTTAAGTGGAAAGAAATTACCAGGTGACACTTATTTAGCAAATATGCTAACTCCTATCAGAAAAAAGTGTGTAGATTTTGTATAAAAAATTAAATCAATTCACCAAAGAAATTTGATCAAATGAAACAGTAAAACGTCTATTTTCAAACCTTCCTCAGGATATTTATCAAATAGTGTTTTATTCTCTGAATAGTTCTTACATGTAGCAAAATACTACAAAGCTAGAAAGCATGTTTAGTACATTAAGTAAGAGAAAAGAAATTTGAGTAACCTCATCCAAAAAGAATTAGTAAAACTGGGCTAGTCTAATGTCTGCTTTTTAGGTTTTAAGAAAAAAAACAATAAAAGGGAGTCTTTCTTTTCCTTAAAAAAGGGTTTAAAAGCTAGTGAGAAAATTCTGTCCTTAGTTGTACTCGAGTAGCTTTCTAAATGGTATTTCAGCATCTCATGGGTTAGTCAAGGTTAGGCTCTGATTAAGGTCTAATCATATTGCGCTTCTGGCTACACTCTTCCCTTCACATTTTTATATACACCCACCCTATCAGAGATACCCCCAATCTGGGGAATCTCTTCCTGGTCATCCAGGCCATGAGGAAGGGGAAGTTAGAGGTTGTGGTCCTGCTGACTGCATTGTGTCTGGTGTCCTCTCACATCCTGGATAGAGCATCACCAGGCATTGCCACACAGCTCCTTCAGGGAGCAAGGGGTGCTGCCAAGGTCCCTGCTGGGCTCCCAGTTAATCATTTAAATCATGTAATCCTTACATTCTTCCTTTTCATGTGTTGTGGCCCACAGTAAGTTGTTTTTTCTCTTGTTCTTTTTCTACCCATAGTCCTCTCCCATCCCAGTCGGGCTTTAAGATTTTGTTAGGGCTGGACTAATAGCTGACCCTAAAAGGAGAACTGAACAGAAACAAATTTCCCAAATCAATCTCTGTAAAGGGCCAGAGCCATTCTCTGGAGAAAAGAGATTCCTGTTGGTGAAAGCTTTCTCTTGCTACTTTTCTGCTTTAGCACTTCCTGGTAACTGAAATTAAGTTTAAAAAAAAAAAAAAAAGAAAAAAAAAGAGCTATGCTTTTCAGCCTCTGCTTCAGGCAGCATTACTGAAACCAGTTACTACCAACTCTGAGTGGCCAGGAGGCAATGCAGCAAAATAAAACTTTAAATGGTTGGAGGAGTGTATGTCATATGCCTAACCACTGCCTCAGTTTTACAGCCTTGTTTTTCTAACCAGATGACATGCATAAATTGGATATAGTTGGCAACATTTTCTGGCATCACCTGTGCAACCCAATCCCAGAATAAAATAGTGTAATTGAAAGCAGAATGTTTGCATCGCGTGTAATTGCTTGCTGTCTTCAAAGCAGTTATTTTGGATATGTAATTTACTACATGCATTATACCTTTTGCCTTTATGTTACAGCTTACTTACATTAGTATGATTCTTTGCACATTTCCTCTCAGGATGACCTGGTAAACACCATTGGAGAATCTGCTGCACTGGGTGCTTCTGGAATTGTGATCTGGGGTGATATGAATTTAACACAAAATAAGGTATGCCAGATTAATTTAAAGCACAAGGAGGAGTCAGTCTGGGAAATTTCAGCTCTAGCCTGTTCTGTGTGTTCTAAGTAGTACTTTGATTAATTTCATTGTAAGAAAGATCTGAGTCAGAAGAGGAAAAAAAAAATCCAATTTGTTTTAGGAAGGTCAAATACATAGTTTGAGAAACATTGTTATAAGGATGTTCAAATAAATCTTTTGAACTAGCTCATTCATACCCAGGCAAGCTAGAAATAATAAACTACTGTATGGCAAGACTCTTCTGAAATCTTCTAAGAGCAAAGAACTGAAACTCTTCAGCGCTGCTGGGCCTCCTGTCACAGAAAGCATGGCCAAATAAACCTCCGCAGCTCTGGAAGGGTCACATTCCCAAAAGCATCCCACTTTGACTCTTTTTTTGTATGTGCCTGTCTTTGAGAAAGTGTATCAGTTGCACCTGAAGCTTTTTTGCCCATTACCCCAATACCAGAACATAGAAGAGCAACAACTTTTATTGCTTGAATTTTGAGATTTGTATGAGCAAATGAATTTTCCACAGCCCGGTCAGACTATGCATTTGTGAACTAATTGCACCTTTTTTTTTTTACAGCTATCCCAGTCAGTAGCCTTTCAGCAATGAAATATTACTGTGAGCCTCACTTCTGCAAGAATTGCATCAACCAAAAATTTCAGGCAGGGTTTTTATATATACCTAAAAGAAAAACAAAAAACCTACATATACCTCAGATTCACTGAAGTGATCTCCACTCTAAATATTAGCTGTATCTATGTGTGATATTAGGCAAATGTCCTAAGGAGACATAGCATCAGAAACAAAGAATTCCCAAAGCCTCTGGTTATTAAACTGTGCCAAGCACACACAGAATATATGCCAACTTCATGATCAATTAGAATGATCAATTCTCTTAGCATACTTTCCATTTGACCATCTTCCCAAAATGCTTTCCATTCAAAAATGCCATGAAAGCTCCCTACTCCTGCAGCGTAGCTATTCAGGTCAGGGGAAAATTGAAGAGTCTCACAGAGATGATTTGATACAAAAATTATTTGTTCAGGCTGAAGAAGTGAGATTTTTTTCAAGATCCCTTCAAACCATTCAAGACACATAAAAAAGAACTTTGATCCTTCATGTAACTTCTTTAAATGCATCTGATTCAAAATGCTACATGAAACATACAGATAAAATGAAAGCTTAAAATTGTCTGCTTTCTGATATAAGTGCTTTCATAACATCTCCAGCAACCACCCAACATAAATTTGCTGTGATCCTTGAGCTATATAGCAACTTCTCAGATAAACTTGCTTCCAACAACCAGTTATAACTATTATCAAAACCTCAGGAGAAACATTCATAGATATCCACTATGGTACTGTTATTAGAATGACAGCATTTTAATGGTTTCCATACTAAACACTGCAGATATGATGCTCTTTTCACAGAACACCTGTAGGACT